ATAAATATTAGCTGAAAATATCATGGGATTAATTTTCTAGAGCATCAGGTTTAGTTTAAGATAAAATAAGGTGAGAAACGGTTAGGCTAAGAGATAAAAATACAAAAGTGTAAATTTGCAACCAATGTGTTGATTTATATTGCTTTCAGTGGTCGTCTCTGTTATGCACTGTTGGCAAGTACTGGCTGCAGAATGTATCTGTACCTGCGCCGGTGTTGGTCAATTCTAGTCTTGAAAGAGCTCACACTTGGTGCCGTCACAACACTCTATGGAAGATTGTTCCAAGAGTTTACAATTCTCACTCCGAAAAAGTTTGCCCTCACAATTTTCTGGACTTGTGGCATCTTCAACCTTAAACTATGACCCCTAGTGTCTAATGACCTCGGAGATGTATATACACTTCATTTCAATCACCATTTGCCTGCCTATGATATATGCTAGGCAACTGCAGGCGTTTTAATTCCTCCGGGTACCTGAGGTGCAGTAGTGCAGGCACCAGTCTAGTGACCCTCCTTTGGGCATTTTGAATCAACTGACAGTCTCTAGCATATCTATTGTATATCTTAGAAAAAATATAAAACATTAGAATAACACAATTTGAAAAGCAAAGCACTTTATTGTTCTTGACCATTTATCATGAAGATTATTTACAAATATATACATATCATTTATATATACAGGTATACACACACACACACACACACACACACACACACACACACACACACACACACGAGGGCTTGCTATGTTCATCATGACGTAGACATGTTCTTGGTGAAACACCTATGGGATTTCATTTGTCAGAATTGTTGGAATCCTTTACAGTAATCATATAAATAAATCTCAACTCACGTCCATTTATAAATAAACATTACATCTTACTGCCTAAGAGTATACCTTTGTATCATACAATGGACAATGAACATATTAATACATCTTAAAGAACCACGAACCCCGAGATGGAGACTCGTGATTCCGAAGCATTATAAAGTGAATAATGTATCAGTGTCTTCTGCCTTGGGCTTACAAGTCCGAAATCTCGGGGTTCATGGTTCAGGAGGATAGGAGACAGGACTTTTGTGGGTGTCTGTCTACATACATGGAAATGGATTTTCACTCTTGACATGGAAAATAAATTTATCTCATTCATGTCTCACATGATCAGTCTAAAACAATACAACTGCATCATCCATTATCTATTGCGAGCGAACACATCTTTTATCAGTACTGACTAAACAATGGAATGCAAATAATCAGTATAACCTTGTAACACTGAAATAAATGGAAAATGGGTAAACTGTACATAGCAAAATACTCTAAGAAAATTAAATTCACATGAGCTGGCGTATACACCTCACCCAGACATAAGATTCACCTTTTATCTTCCACGTGGACTTGGTTATTGCAAAAAAGTACCAATCATAAAATTTACAAATTAATTGTAAATAGACACATTTTTTAGCAACTCCAGCATGTTATGGTTATTTATGATAATAATCAGATACTACTGATCTGTGACAGCATGACAAAAGGGAGTGTTTGGCTGCGGTCAAAACCTATAAAACAAAAAAGCCAATCACCGCTACAAGGGACGCACCCAGGACTAATGTGTCTTTTGGATGAAGTGCTCAGTTACACGTCCATATGTGTTATACAACACTTGACATCCGTGTAGAAATCACGTTTTCACACACAAAGTGGCTACAAGAACGGAGTTAGGAAGCTTTAAGGTCGAGGATGAAGAGATGGAAATCTGAAGATGGTTCCGGAAAGTTTCTTGTATAACCGTTTGGTCAATTAGTACTGTACCGATGTCTATACTGTTTTGTATTCTGTCCTACTATTGGTATGGGACATTAACTCGGACATTCAAGCAAACAACGATTGCTTCATATTTTGAAAGGGTTTAATAAACTTTATTTTTCTTACATTTGCGTTAAATCACCTAGAAAATCCCCGTACCTGTACCCTCGATCTTAAAAAAAAAAATCGGTGATCCGTATCCGTGGCCATGTTCTTTCAGATTTTATGGGCCTAAAGCTCAATCCCCCAGAAATACCGGCTTGATTCACTCTAGCAACTACCAATATTCTACTCTTCCAAGCTGTCAATACTACTCTGAATGCTTACGCATAAACATAAAATTAACCCAGATAGTTGCAAACACTACGGTTATTACACCACTTAGCTGCAGAACAAACACTATGGTGATCAGACAAATGAAACAATTGGAAGCGTCCGTATCGCATTATCAAACCAAAACAAACAACCTCACTGCTGTGACGTCATAGTTGCGCGTTCATAAATGCACAATAACAAATGGAAAATGTAACAATAGACATGATTCATGATCAACAAGATAAAGGTCAGGGTGCGAGGAATGCAAATTATTTCACAATATACATATTTTCATTTAAATTTCCGATGATAGTTGCAACAACTGAACACCAAATATTACTAACAAGTTTATACTAGAAGATAAATTGTTACAATCAGACACTTCAAGAGAACTTCTTATAAAATGTTACCGACGTAACTAATACAGTATCTTTGGAAAGCAAATAAAGTAAAACGTCTTTGGGAAGGCATTGTGAGGAAAATTTATCACAAATCAGTTTTTGGATAACGTGGTTGGTTAATCTTACGGGAGATTTTCATGAGTGCATAAAAAATTCTGGTGTTTCTTGATAAATTATGATATAATGTAATCTAGCAAACAAGGCAATGGCAATTTTAAGGCACAGACGTACCATAATAACATCAAAATGCCCATGACCTGAAATATACATACTCAGTACGCATATACAACTGAAGAAACTATATTGTTAATGCTTATGCATGACACAGCATAGCAAGGAATGGCCCACAAAGACGTCAAGGATGTATTAAGTAAAGCCTTGTTTTCCATCCTAGAAATCCAACACATTAAAGTGAATTTCCCAAAGTATGCATGTAGGTTGTGTCGTTTTCTTTCCCTCCTCCTCCATGAAGAAGTGCACGCAGGCTTCTGTCCAGCGAGGGGGTCACTCACTCACTCCTCCACATCACCAAATGCATTTATTTACTTAGGGAGGAGTGAGGCAGCCCGACGCCCCACTCTACTGTACACCATTGCCATAATACCAAGGTTGTCATGCCGACGCGTGCTCTCTCTACCCCGTGGTAACCCTACAAGATTCCTCTTTTATGTTTCTCAGTACAGTACTGTGAGTTTTTTCTGACTGAAGATACAGTATGCTATACTATATTTTTAATAAATACCGATAAACATTTTTTTTATATTCTAATTAACATAACGATACAATAGATTTTCCTTAATTACTACTGTAATAATCTATTTTCATTAATACGGCAATAACTAGTTTTCTCGTGAACTAGACTGAGACACTAGTTTTTCTTTGAACTAATGCCATAATACAACATATATTTTCCCTGAACTAATACTGTGGAGAAGTATTTTCATTGTTTTTACTTAATTAATAATGAGATTTCCTCTTGGTTTAACAATATATTTTCCCAAATCACTTAAAAATAAAACAATACTGTGACAAACCAGGTTTTTTTTTTCATTCTGACTAAAGCCGTAATTTCCTATTTGACTAAAGCACAACCGTAATGACCCACTCTTAATAAAGCTGATCGACTATAACATAAAACTGTTTACCTTTGGTCGACGCCACCTGACGAGCTCTCTCTCCTGGCCCCTTGTGAGCCGAAGATTGTGGGGGACCTCCCTTTACTGTGGAGGTGTTGGGGGAGCAGAGAGGAGGGTGTGGGGGACCCCTTTAGTGTGGTGGTGTTGGGGGAGCAGAGAGATGTAGAAATTGCCTTTCCGTTTCAAATAATAAAGAAAATTCTCCTGCTAATATAAGATTTGTAACATTCCTTTCTCCAGTAAAAGTCTGGAAGAACCCACTTACCAGTGAACGACTGAGACATTCTTGCTAATGAACGACTGAGATATTCTTAATAGTGAACGGTAAAGTTCCAGTTACTTGAGAAAGACTGATGCATTCCTTAATGTAAAATAAATGTTGACAAAGCAAGAAGGGTCTGTTAAGTGACCCTACCTTATGAATGGAGGAGTTCCTTACCTAAGTGTTAGGAAAGGCCCTGTAATATAAAGATTAGAGACTTTCTTTTCTCTAAATCAAATACTGGTAGGTTTCGGCATAATAATATAAAGGATAAATTCATTAGCAAATCCGTTGGAGAAAGGTTTTCTCTTCTTATCCAGTAGAACATTAACAAAAAGTCTTTGCCTCACAGGCTTTTATTTCACCTCATGTCCGTTATCTGGGAATGCGGGACCAATAAACAAACAATATTTTCCCAGGATGATCTTCCCCACGAATGGATACTAAATATTTATGTAATACTGTACTAGTTAAAAGTATGAGTTATATGCATGAGTGTTGTGGGTGGGCCAGAAGAGAGAGGAGGTACAATGGATGATCAACTTCTATAACTATTTATTTGATTGAGCAGTGAACTGAGAAGGAGGAAATAATTGTGCTATAGATTCATAAATATATCTTTCCTTTTTTCTCGTCATCTAACGTTGCCAGACTAGAGTGGCCTCTTACTAATATTATCATCTGTCCGCTTAAGAAACCAGAGATCAGTGAAGCTTCACAATATGAAGTCAATATAACAACTTCAGTCATAATACATTAAAATAAAATAACATAAACACAAGGGATCACTGCACCCATACCCGGGCCATGGGTCCATTCAATGGCTTATCAAGAATCAGTGTTGGGTCACTCAGGTATGGGTGAAGTCCCTCATTGTGTTGTGGATAATACAGTATATACAAAATATAGAAACCTGACAGTACTCTAATAGATTAATTTTTGGTGCATTTCGAGTATATATATATATATATATATATATATATATATATATATATATATATATATATATATATATATATATATATATATATATATATATATATATATATATATATATATATATATATATATATAATAAAGCTGGCGATGCGTGAAGACATTTTACCCTCAACCTTATGGAAAGCAACTTGGATTGGGATGAACGCGGTGACCAGCAGGCCGGGCCAGGGTCGTGACCTTGACACACAGCAGGAACTACCTCCGGTACACCTATGTACACCTATTACCTCTACACCTACACCCACCGATGGTGTAGGTTCGCAGCAGCCACCACCGCCACGCCAACTATAAAGAGATGGGCGTGCGGACTGGACCCGCCTCCCTTGGTGTTGTTCTTCTGGCCGGGTTTAGGTGTAGCGGGGGACGCCTTCTTGGTCCAGGGGTTGCGTGTGGTGTTCCACCAGGGAGGCTGTGTGGGTGACGGCAGGTTGGGACGCGGTGCCATGGCTGGGTCGTTCAGGCATGGCGCTGTAAGGCACACAGGAGACACGAGGTCATTCAGAGTGAAAAGTTGTTATCAAAGATCATTAGAGGTCACCACAGGTCATGAAGTCATTAATCAGAAGCCCTAATAAGTCACAAAAGGTCACAAAGATCATTAGATGTCATCAGAAAATACATTTCCCCGAAGGGCCAGAAAAACTGGAGCTCTATATTTTTCGACTGTGCCCGCCGCTTCTCCGCAGCTGAGGACCGTAAGGCCCGGGTGAACAACACACAACTCCTGCTTTTCTGTGAGTTATTTCTCCGACAATGGGTTTCAGTAAAATGGTATATGAGGCGTTACATACTTTTTTCACACACACACACACACACACACACACACACACACACATATATATATATATATATATATATATATATATATATATATATATATATATATATATATATATATATATATATATATATATATATAACAAAGAGGAGAACCAGGGAAAACACAAACATCTTGACTTTTTCAAAACTTTTTGTTTCCTAGGCTCTGATGATGGAAAATGATTTTTTCCGAAACGTTAGTGATTAAAGAAACCCAACTTAGTCAAGATGTTTGTGTTTTCCCTGGTTCTCCTCTTTGTTATATATATATATATATATATATATATATATATATATATATATATATATATATATATATATATATATATATATATATATATATATATATATATATATATATATATATATATATATATATATGTGTGTGTGTGTGTGTAATAATAATATTAGTAATAATAATAATTAAATGTTTATTGAAAGAGCATGGCAGCCGGAAGGCAGAAAATATAGTTACATAATTGGGGAATGTGTCTCTTGATTTACAAATAATATAAAAGTAACATAAGTGATACAAATATGATATATAATAACTAGGTGGGGAGAAGCTCAAACTACAGGGCATTTCAACATAGTGACAGTGCAAAAAGGTAAGATTCACTGGGAGTGAATACACTGGTTGATTACAAGTTATTGACAATTTTTGCAATGGTTGGGACAATGGTGTGTGTGTGTTAATTAATTATCAAATACAAATAAATTCAATAAACAGTTAAGTCAAAGATAAATGTTACAATATAACCTTTGACCTTAACACTTAGATGAGTGTCATTACCTTTACCCCCAGAATCTTGAGTGTAGTATAAGGTTTGTACCACAAGTTCAGTCAGGACCTTTAGACTCATCCTACTCCCTCCTACAGTGATTGAACAATGTAGCGTTACGCTAAAACCGTCAACGTCCTCACACCTGACCCTTGACCTCTCTCGTCGCCTTACTGACCTTGTTTGACCAGCTTCATGCCGTAGGAGAGCGCCTGGAGGCCACGCTTGCAGTTCACCCCGGCCTCCATGATGTAGATCTCACCGTCGTCCACCACCACGCCGGCGAAACACTCGTAGCCCGCCTGGTCCCTCCGCTCTGTGTACGTGTAGGTCACCCCTGTCTCACTCCACTGACCAAGGCATCTGTACTCCCGCTCTATGGCACGGCGAAGGGGACATGTGGGTTAGTATATATTATATAGTTAGTGTTTATATACGCCGTTATTAGTTATGTTTATAATTATAATAATTTATAGTGATTTGGGCAACATGACCCGATGATGATGATGATGATAGTAATAATAATACTAATAATACTAATAATAATAATAATAATAATGAAAATGATGATGATCCAAATAACTGAAAAAAAATTAATAATAGTGATGATGACGATTTAATGGTTATAATGATGATGCTGATGACGATGATGGTGATAATGATGATAGTAATGTTGGTCATAATATTGATGACAATGATTGTCATAATGATGATTAAAACACCTAAAAAAAACCCACACACACACACAACAAGTAACAAATATGATGAAAATGATCCAAGACAACTTCCCATCCACTGACTCACCTTCAATCACCTCAGATCGGTTGTGACACGAGAAGACGGTGTAGAACATGATCTCCGGGTTGTTACAGTCTGAGTACAGCTTAGCGCAGAGTATCGGGGCGTCTGGGATCACCCCCGTATATTCACCAGCTACCGGGCACGGAGACTGTCGGAACCGGTCGACTCCTGAGGAAGGGAGGAGAGTGAGGATGTGGGTTAAATTTATGTGTGAGACTGAGTGAGTGAGTGAGAGAGAGAGACAGACAGACAGACAGACCAGACAGAAACCAAAGAGGAGGCCTTAAAACCCTCCTCTTAGCTAATACCATAACAAACAAGATCTCATCCACGCCACACCACAACCCTCATCCATGGGGGAGGGGATCTAACCCACCTCCTTCATAATTTAACAAAACATAGACCGAGGGATTAAGCGGAACACACCAATAACTAAGAATCATCTTGATGTCTGTTAAGGTAATACGAGGAACCACCGGAAGCGTGTGTGTGTGTGTGTGTGTGTGTGTGTGTGTGCCGTTATTTTCTTGAGTTGTTTCAATATTCGCTGGGGTGAGAGAGAAGGGGATGTGTGGGGAGGATGTGGGGAGGGTATGGGGAGGACTGTGGAGAATAGGGAGGAGCAGGAGGTGGGAAGGAGGAATGGAGGATGAAATATGGATGAGGAGAGAGAGAGAGAAAGAGAGAGCAAAATGGGGCTGTGAGAATAGAGAAAACCGCACTGGTGACCATTAAAGAAAACTGCGTCTCTTACTGAAAGAGGACTGTAATAACAGGGGAAACTAATGTAATGTAAATTACTGTCATTTGGAGCTGGTTCACATCGGGAAAAAATCCGGTTGCAGAGGAAGTGTTGTGGGGCGGACAGGAAGGGTCGGTCAGGTAGGTACTCCTTAATTGCCGCTGCAGCCACAAGGTGTATCAACGGTCTGGTGGTGGTGGTTGTGGTGGTAGAGGTGCCCTTTCTGGGGAGGGGGGGGGTAGCGGCGGTTGTGGGGGTATTGGTGGGGTGGTGGTGGTGTTAGAGGTGCCCTTTGTGGTGGGGTGGGTATAGTGATAGTAGTGGTGATGGTAATGACGGAAAGAGAATGATCAATTTCTTTTTTCTTTTTTTGTAATTTATCATTTCGAGTGATTGGTCGGGTGTTCGTTAATTTGTTATGGACTTTATTATCCAGCGTTAGTACAGGAGGAAGCCTGCCATGTTTACTAGGGTGACACTGGTTAACACCCTCCCCACGTCTGTCCGGGGCCAAAACTCGAACCCAGAACACAATAGTGAGATATACGCGTGTTGCCACTGTACCACCAGAGAGAGAGAGAGAGAGAGAGCGTGGGAGTGTCCCCAGGCTAGGACACACACGAGACAGCAACAGGTGGTCAGAGATGATGGTCGACCGGTAGTGTTGTGTTCCGGCCATACCACAGGGGGGGTGACAGGGTTGAGACAAGTGGTGTGTTGACCTGTGAGACACTACTCCCTACTTTTAAGGATCCATAAATACAGATAGACAGACAGACAGATGGATAGATAGATCGATGATATACCTGTAGATAAGACACAAACATCGTGATGAAAAGAGTAAGACCAAAAAGCGTGAGCTAAGTGACTCACAGATGTATTTAATGCAATAAATTAAACGTACGTCGTTGTATCGTTCACAATGATGATGAGAACGAGGGAATAATGGCAACAAAAATGTTAAGAATAAACTTTATCTCAGTGTTGATAACGGGAGAGACATGGGGTAGGGGGTGACCTGTTAGAAGTGACTCAATAATAACTACTACAGATTTAGCCAGGATGCATCAATCTGCCAGACAACAACGTTCATTTTTATCGTTATTATCAACAGGTTCTGGACGGATGCCAAGGCAACTGTGAGGACCGAGGTGTGGGAGAGAGGGAGGGGTAATGAAGGAGAATCACGTCCTCCATGTGTCACGTCCAACTGATGACTGAGTGAGTCACATCTAATCATCAGTTGAGGAGCGGCGGTGGCGACGCTAACCTCGTGGTAGTCCCGCTGATTCATGAGCTTCAAAAGTGAAGAAAAAAAAATAAGACCGCAGGCGAATACTTTTCTTCTTCCAGGCCACCGGAACTACTGTACAACCTCCAAGGAATCATTTTGTTACTTTGTTTTTGCTGATTATATAAGTGTTTAGTCATGCATTACTCTCGAACTTGGAAAACATTACAGTACACGAGAGAACAGAACGGGGTAAACACGTTCCAATAATGTTTCAGCTGGCGACGTGCACACTCACACCCGCCCCCTACCGCCCACTGTTGACCACACACACAAATTTTCCTCCCAGAATGAAAAATTAACGCTTTTTGAAACACCTCGTATTATTTCTTAGAATTTCCGGTCGAGTTTTAACGAACGATGGAAAAATCTTGTATTCGTGTCACCGGAGGAATTTTAAGGCATAAATTCTCTCTTGCCTTTGCACAGGAATTTTTATATTTTTTGCCAAGACGCAGAGGAGAGAGAAAAGGACAAGAATGTTGGATGATATGACCAGTTTTGGAGGAGATTGGTGGAGCGGAAGGAAGGAGGATGGACTGTCGGCAAGACGCGCTCTGTTGGGGAAAAAATACGATCATGATTGATGAAGCCTTTAATTTCCAGGCGACACAAATCAACCATACTGAACCTATACCTAACCCTAACTCAACCAAACAAAAGGTAACCAAACTTAATGCTCTTCGGGTAGTAATGTTTTAGGGTTAGTTTTAAGTTGGTCCGTATTGACTACTTTCAGAAGTACAGTATACGTAAATGAACATCACTTAGAGGTCGTGTTCAGGGGTTACATTTCCGACACAGTGCGACTTGCAGGAAAGGAAGGAAGGAAGGAAGGAAGGAAGGAAGGAAGGAAGGAAGGAAGGAAGGAAGGAAGGAAGGAAGGAAGGAAGGAAGGAAGAGGGTAAAGATGGAAAAGATGAAGGTAGGAAGGAAGGAATGAAGAGGGTTTCGTCACCATGGTCCGTGGAGACGACAAAAAGGACACGATTCTGGTCGTAAAAATTAGAAAGCCTGAACGTTATCAAGCTCCTTGGTCCTCCCTGAGACTGTCTGGGGTGTGGGGAGTGGGGAGGGGAGACAATCTGGGGTAGGGAGACTGTTTGGGGTGTGAGGAAGGGGTGGGGAGACTGTTTGGGGTAGGGAGACTGTTTGGGGTGGGAAGAAGGTGGGGAGACTGTCTGGGGTGTGAGGAAGGGGGTGGGAGACTGTCTGGGTGTGAGGAAGGGGGTGGGGAGACTGTCTGGGGTGTGAGGAAGGGGTGGAGACTGTCTGGGGTGTGTGAGGAAGGGGTGGGGAGACTGTCTGGGGTGGAGGAAGGGGTGGGGAGACTGTCTGGGGTGTGGAGGAAGGGGGTGGGGAGTCTGTCTGGGGTGTGAGGAAGGGGTGGGAGAGTCTGTTTGGGGTGTGAGGAGTCTGTCTGGGGTGTGAGGAAGGGGTGGGGAGACTGTCTGGGTGTGAGGAAGGGGGTGGGAGACTGTATGGGGTGTGAGGAAGGGGTGGGGAGACTGTCTGGGGTGTGAGGAAGGGTGTGAGGAGACTGTCTGGGGTGAGGAAGGGGTGGGGAGACTGTTTAGGGTGTGAGGAGACTGTTTGGGGTGTGAGGAAGGGGGTGGGGAGTCTGTCTGGGGTGTGAGGAAGGGGGTGGGGAGTGATCATCTGGGGTCGGGGATGGGGGGGGAGGGAGCTAGAGTAGACTGTCTCATAACCCACCAACCATACAGTCTCCTAACAGTCAAGACAACACGACCAGACTGTCTCACTCCACACCGACAGTCACAAAGTTACAGTGAGATTCTCAATTGCTCGTAAGGTTCAATTTTTACTCCGGACTGGTGATGGAGAATGGACGCCACTTAGTTACGGCAGACCCTCCGTGAGAAGACGTGTTCGTAATTAAGGTAAAGTCTCGGGATAATTTGGAGGCCATCTTGGAAGGTGTTTGTTTTTATTTTTTTTTGTAGTTAAGTGAGCCAGTTAGTTGAGTTCTTGAATATCTAGTTCGGAAGGATTTTAATTGTTGTTTCACTCATCCTAACCCCAGTCAATCCATCCTTTCTCTTCCCCCTTCCTCCCACCCCAGATCGTCTCTCCACTCCTTCCCCCCGTCCTTACTCACCTTCCCTTCCTCTCTCGACCACAGACCGTATCAAAAATCATTCTTTTCTCATCTTCAGTCATGAGAAATTGTCGTAAATTGTTGTACGCATCTTTGAACATCCTTCTCTTGAGTGTCTTACCCCAGCGTTCAGATTCTCAAAGGGTTAAATTTTCCTCTTAAGTCGAGATGTTAAGAATATCATTTCAATTATGAATTACTGGATTTAAGCGAGTGAGTTGACTTGAGGTGTGTCGGGGAGATAAATGTACAGTTTATACTTCCCCAACACACCCAGATATTTGTTGGTATTTAAGTTGATTGGATACTGATTTTTAGGAATATGGAAGAAATACAAACGTCAAAGAAAGCATCTACTTCACACACACACACACACACACACACACACACACACACACACACACACACACACACACACACACACACACACACACACAATATATTTCAATCCCCGCCTGCCTTCAGAACACGGCAGCTCCACCTTCCTGCCCGGTGTTGCAAATTACCATGAAAATTGCAAGTGCAATGACAGAGGACACGACAAAAATGCAACTGCCATAAAATTAAAGAAGCGACAGAAGAAAAACCTGAAAACAACGACTCCTACAACAGAATGGCTAATTACCATGCACTAATTTGATCCACGTTCGTATATTCACTTGTTTAAAGGCACGGAGATCCCCTCAGCGCTGAAATAACACCACACAGAACAAGATTGATCTAAAAGGTCGACAAAAAGTGAAATCGTCAGCCAAGCGACACGAGCAACGTAATTCCTCCACGTTCGGTACTGAGGCGTGGATCCGGTGGACGCGTTCTTTATATTGCGCTGACAGTCGTTCCTTTAGTGAATGGCTGCCTGCCAACTTCAAACCAAATTATATATGCAAAGTACAACAATTCCAACTAGATACTTAGTATATAAATTAACATAATTCTAATGGAACAATTCTAGAAATGGCAATTCGTCTTTATATACATCAATAACTGAATAATAATATTTTTGTAATACCTCTGAAATTTGAAATTGAATAAAAACAAATCTGATGTGATTATAATCTCGCTCTGGATTTAATCTAAAGACTGGATCAAGAGGAATTTTGTGACATTTCTTTACGAACCTCTTAATGCTTGATTTATCACACGCGTTCCTCCACATGTACCTGGAAATTTTATTTAAAATTTCCAACATGGTTTGAAGAGTAGTACTAAAAATGTCGTGGAAATAACAGAATCAAATCAATTATATTCTACTGGAGATGAGAAACCAGTTACTATTTTTTCTTGTGATATGAAGGTATTGAATTATCTATATCTTATCAGTAGTAGAAAGCATAATGATATGATTACAATGAAAGAGGTTTTCCACTCCAGGTAACATCTGAGGCAAAATACGTCAAAGGTGGCCGTAACCCACTGAATATTTCTCGTGGCCCAAAAATGAAACAATCATAGAAATCTAGCTCATTTTTTTCAGCCTAGGTAAAGAGATATGTGCAACTGTTGACATCAGGAGAGAGTAGAGGTAAATATTTACACGTACAGTAATAGAGCGATGACCTCAAATGAAAGAATATTAAATAATGAGATAATATTAAAGGAAATACGTACTTGGGGATGGGAATAAGCCTCGTAAAATTCATGTTAAGTTCAGTCATAAAGTTATAATTGAATCTGTCTCTCTTACCAGATGACATTTGGCCAGGTAATTACTAAAGGGAGATTCGGGTGAGTTAACGTGAGGGTATGATTAGTAGACAGGTAACGGAGTTAACTCGAGGTATGATAAGTGAACAGGTGTACGTGTGTTAATTAGTAACTCACGTCCTTGTGTGACCCAAGAGTCCCAGGTGAGAGAGGCGGGGGAGGAACACAGACCCATCTCATATGTCTCCTTCACGTCCGGACCTGTGTGAGGGAGGGTGGTTGTTAGTAGTAGTAGTAGTAGTAGTAGTAGTAATGGAGGTAACTATTGGGTTATACACCATAAAATTATATCTGAAATAAACAAAATACTGACAGCATCATATAGTAAATCAATCTATGAAAAAGAAAGTTATATTGTAAATTGAACTGTCCTTTCTTCCATCGATATATATCAATAAACATGAGTAATTCCCAGTAAATTAAGTCATTACACAGAAGTTATTGGTTCACAGCGTATTATTACCTTTAAGAAGTACATCCGGTGAACGTGAAATTAAGGGCACGAAAACAGTTCCAACAATATTCTAAATGTAACTTAAAAAACAAAACACATACAAATAAAATTATAGAATTAGAACTCCATAAAGATGAAACTTAAAAGATGAACAACATTAAGATTAAAAAAAATCATTCTGACTAAGTAATGTACTGTACTTCTTAATGTTGGAACATAAAATTACAAGAACAAATATTTTAAAAAGACTTACTGATCTGGAACTCCATAACGTTGGAACTCCTTTCCTGCATGGCCAGACAGGTGAAGGCTTCGTCGCCGCTGTGGCAGAAAATTACAGAGTATTTATATATCACCGGGTCATGGGGGGGTGGAGGGTGCGGGAATACACCTCGTAAAAAGGAAATATATAAAAAAGAAAATATGTAGATGGAGGAAATGGCGAACGCAAGAGAGGAGTAGAATAAATGAGAGAGAAGTTGAGAAAAACACAAAATTAAAGACATAATAATAATAGAATAAGAAAAAGAAGAAGAAGAAATAAGGATCATGAGGAAGAGCAACTCAAGATAAGGTAATACATTATTGGAACGTCTCATTATTAGGTGTTGAATACTAAGTTGACTAAAAAAGAAAGAACATGAAGGCTATTTACCACAGAAACCAGACAATCGTTGTTTATCTGATCAGAGCAACACTCCATTACAAAACAAACACAGAGTACAAATGAAACTAAACAACACACAGGGAGATGAAAACAACATGTAAACAGGCGAAATATTATCAACAAGAGGCCGAGCTAATAAGAGCCATTGTTTACATATCAAGGTTAACGCTCAAGTGCTCAAAGATAAGTGTCAACAAGAGTTAATGCTTATATGAGGAGGCGGAGGAGGATGTTAATTACTGCATTATACAGTTGGCGAGCAAGAATACTGGCGAGTTGGCGAAAGAGAAGAAAGGTGGGTAGAGTTGGCGAAGAGGGGGGGAAGGTTCAGGTTGACGAAGAGGAGGAGATAGCTCAAGTTAGCAAAGAGAAACGCAGGACTTAAGTTGGTGAAGAGGAAGACGTGGGGTGGTGAAGAGGAAGACGTGGGGTGGTGAAGAGGAAGACGTGGGGTGGTGAAGAGGAAGATGGAGGTGGTGGAAGAGGAAGACGAGGTGGGGTGAAGAGGAAGACGTGAGGTGGTGAAGAGGAAGATGGAGAGGTGGTGAAGAGGAAGACGGGAGGTGGGCAAGAGGAAGACGTGGGGGTGGTAAGGAGGAAGACGTGGAGATGAAGACGAAGACGAGTGGTGAAGAGGAAGACGTGGGGTGGTGAAGAGGAAGACGAGGTGGTGAAGAGAAGACGAGGTGGTAAATTATGAAAACGAGGATGAAGAGGAAGACGTGAGGTGGTGAAGAGGAAGACGTAAGGTGGTGAAGAGGAAGACGTGAGGTGATGAAGAGGAAGACGTGAGGTGATGAAGAGGAAGACGTGAGGTGGTGAAGAGGAAGACGTAAGGTGGTGAAGAGGAAGACGTGAGGTGATGAAGAGGAAGACGTGAGGTGGTGAAGAGGAAGACTAAGAGTTAATGGTGGTACAAGACCTTGAGAACGCATCACGACCACCCACAGATATCTGGTCCTTTTTCTTCTTCTCCTCCTCTTCTTCCTTCCCCCCTTCTCCCCTCTGTCCTCTTCCTTCTCCCCTCTCTCTCTCTCCTCTTCTCCCCTCTCCCCTCTCACTCTCCTCTTCCTCCTTCTCCCCTCTTTCTTTTCTGCCGCACCCTCTCTCCTCCCTCCCTCTTCCCTCTTCCCCTCTCTCCCTCTGCTCTTTCTCCTTCCCTCTCTTCCCTCCCTTCTCTCTCCTCTTCCTCCTTCTTCCCTCTCTCTTCCCCCCTCTTTTCTCCTCCTTCCCATCTCTCCTACTCATCTCTGTTTCCTCATCATCATCATTATCCCCTCTTCTCCTCCTTCCTCTTATTCTTCTTCTCTTAATACTAGCTGGAGAGGCAGGTGGAGAGAAAGTGGGAGATGAAAGAGAAGAGAAGAGGAGGAGGAGGAAACGAAAGGGAAAAAAGAAAATTGACAAAGGAATCAGAAAAGGAACGAGAGAGAGAGAGAGAGAGAGAGAGAGAGAGAGAGAGAGAGAGAGAGAGAGAGAGAGAGAGAGAGAAAGAAGAGAGAGAGAAGAAGAAAAAGAAGAAGAAGAAGAAGAAGAAGAAGAAGAAGAAGAAGAAGAAGAAGAAGAAGAAGAAGAAAAGAAGAAGAAGAAGAAGAAGAAGAAGAAGAAGAAGAAGAAGAAGGTGTGAAATAAACAAAGACAGGAACAGCAAAAGCTTAAGAATAATAAGCCAGAGAGGACACGAAGGACAGAAGTTCTTCCAAGGACAACTAGATGGAGGTGAAGTCTCTCTCTCTGTCTGTCATATCTCACTTTTGATCTTCTATCTATCTATCTATCTATCTATCTATCTATCTATCTATCTACCTATCTATCTATCTATCTGTCTATCTGTCTGTCTATCCAGTCTGTCTGTCTTTCACTGTCTCTTTGTCTGTCTGTCTGTCTCACAGGAACTGCGTCGCCTCAACACTTCATGGCCTTGGAATCGTCATGAATGCATTTAGATCCTTCCGATAATGTGTGCACGTCCTGGGGGGTGGAGGATGATGTGCACGTCCTGGGGAGGAGGATGTGCATGTCCTGGGGGTGGAGGATGATGTGTGCACGTCCTGGGTGGAGGATGACAGGCACGACCTGGGGGGTGGAGGATGATGTGCACGTCCTGGGTGGAGGTGATGATGTGCACGTCCTGGGGGGTGGAGGATGATGCACGTCCTGGGGGGAGGGAGGATGATGTGCACGACCTGGGGGTGAGGATGATAATGTCCTGGGGGTGTGGGGGATGATGTGCACGTCCTGGGGGTGGGAGGATGTGATGCACGTCTCGGGGTGGAGGAGGATGTGCACGTCCTGGGGGTGGAGGATGATGCACGTCCTGGGGGTGGGGATGATGTGCACGTCCTGGGGGTGGTGGAGGATGATGTGCACGTCCTGGGGGTGGAGGATGATGTGCACGTCCTGGGGGTGGGGGATGACATCGTCCGGGGGGTGGGGGATGATGTGCACGTCCTGGGGTGGAGGGATGATGCACGTCCTCGGGGGTGGAGGATGATGTGCACGACCTGGGGGGTGAGGATGATGTGCACGTCCTGGGTGGAGGATGATGCACGTCCTGGGGTGGAGGATGATGTGCACGTCCTGGGGGTGGAGGATGATGTGCACGTCCTGGGGGGGAGGAGGATGATGTGTGCACGACCTGGGGGTGGAGGATGATGTGCACGTCCTGGGGGTGGAGGATAATGTGCATGTCCTGGGGGTGGAGGATGATGCACGTCCTGGGGAGTGGGGATGATGTGCACGTCCTGGGGGTGGGAGGATGATGTGCACGTCCTGGGGGGTGGGGATGATTTGCACGTCCTGGGGGTGGGGGGATGATGTGCACGTCCTGGGGGTGGAGGGATGATGTGCAATGTCCTGGGTGGTGGGGATGATGTGCACGTCCTGGGGGGTGGGGGGGCAAAGGGGGGTGTGCACGTCCAGGGGGGGGGGGAGAAATAGACGAATATAAACCAAGTAATAAAGGAAGACGAATAAAAGAAACAAAGATAAATATAACAAATAAGGAGACGAAGATAAAGAAGAAGACTTAGAAGAAAAAATACGATAACAGAGAAAGGGAAGAAAAATACGAAAAATAAAAAAAAAATCGCCAAGAAAACTAATAATCACAATGATTTAGTACTAATAGCCAGAGGTGGACGACTCGTGTATAATTATCACCACCCACACACTCATTAACATCTACCCTAGTAATTAACACCTGCTACTCCCTTATTAACGCCGCTCAGTCACTAATTAACACATAACTGAGCACTGACATTTGTACCATTCACTAACCCCTTCTTCCCCCCCTCCCCTGGTGTTATGACCTTGACCTTTATGGGGCACTGACACCTGTTGTACTCGTAGTAGTCATTAAGATATGCATATTTTCTACAAGCTTTCGTGATGGTTATGTCCTCTCTCTCTCTCTCTCTCTCTCTCTCTCTCTCTCTCTCTCTCTCTCTCTCTCTTTCTTGTAAACAACCAGGTTAGAGGTTTACACTTTAAGTCTGTGATTGAGTGTGTCTTGTTTACAGCTAAATTCTGTTTCTACTTACGCCCGCGATGTCCTGTAGCGGGGACTGCCCAGTATAGGCCAATAGACCCGCTGCAGTTTCCCCCATTCTTATGTTCTTATATGTTCTTTAAGTCAATATTACCCAAAGTTAAATTAAAAAGTTTCCTTATGTTATTCTTTTCTATATATTGTGAACATTTATTTACTGTACATTCCTTGCAGTCGTCATCCTATCTATGCGGCCTTCACTGCATCCTTGTAATTACGATTGCATCTTTGTAAACACCACCGAATCACTATACTTATCACCCTTCCGGTCATTAACGCAACCTTGTATTCATTAATTATCATATATCTGCTTTGTTTATCCTTCCCTTCATGTCTCTATCGTTTTCTTTCTCTATTCATTATATTCTCGGTTTCGTTATCGGAGCATTACAAGCATCATCGTACCCTGGCAGTGGTGGGTGGCGGAGGAAGCGGAAACTGTTGTTGTCACCGAGTGTTTAGGTCTGGGTTAGTGTGTTGCCTGGAGTTGTCGCTACTCCTTTACTCCTATCTGGCTACTAACTTACTCCTTACTCCTGCCTCGCTACTCTACTACGCCTCATTTCAGCTTGATTACTTTTATTATTTGTTACTTCTTCTTTTATTGCCTCATTCCTTTAATCTTTCCTCTACCCGTATATTCCATCTTCCCCCAACAGGTTGATAAATAATGTCTGCTTTTACTCTCATTGACATATATGGATTTTGAGTCTTTGCTTACAGGGTTAAAGGGTGAATTATTATTATTATTATTATTATTATTATTATTATTATCATTATTATTATTATTGTATTGCACCTTAATAAAATCTATCTAACTCTAGAGGCTTTACCAACTTCTAGAGACCCTATCTAGATAACAGGTATAATGAGGGCCGGACCAGGTGGCAGTTGTCCCTAGGTGTTTAGTATATACTGTGTGTGTGTGTGTGTTCCGGGCTTTGAGTCGCACCTGCCTCCGGTAACTCCCTCGTCCCTCACTCCTTGAAGACGCGTCGTAATGTTTCGTCCTTGTCAGCCACCACTTGACCTCCCCGTCTCGGCTGAACGATGGTAAAGGGAAGTGAGTGGTGTTTTTCGCAGCGTCCAGGAGGGGAGGGATGT